ATATATAGAAGTAAAACCAGTGGTCGAATGTCTAAAAAACAATACACAAGCATAAAAGAACACGCAGTAATAATAAATAAGTGTCTGACAGTGGGGTTATGTCATAATTGCTTGTATTTCATGAGGTGTGAATAATCCTCACTGTTGCATTGAGGTCAATCTCTCTACTGAAGATTTTTGTGACTCGCTTTTTTCACATTTTCAAAGTGTAGATGTGTTGTTTTTGTAAGGTGTGTGTATGTGTTCATGCGTGGTGTGTTATTGTTTTTCTGCGTTGTTCTGAGCGGTGTAGTAAGCTCTTAAGCTATAAGAAGCTTTCTCTCCATTTCAAATCAAAGAATGCAGACTCTGCAGGAAGTAACCCCTCGTAAACCTGCCACTGGCTTTCACAGTCCTCTTCTGCTCCCTCCCTCTGTCTCTCTCTCTCGCCCTCCATCCTTCCCCGTACATCCATCTATCATCGCACTGCATCCAAGCATCCCATCAAGCCCCTCATAAATCAACAAATCTTAACAATGGACATTTTTTTGCATCTCGCTCAGCTGAGGGTGAACAGCTTTAACAGTCTAGCCTAAGGCTCATCGTCCCACTGGTTTTCCTGGACCTACTGCAGTCAACCTTGAGAATCTAAACAAGTTCCCACATCACCTAACAGGCTTTCCTGAGGCAGCGGATTCAATCCACACTCTCAAAACCTCCAGTCCAACTCCTGATGGACTCTACAAAAAGGTCAACGTTCAGGGAGAATTTTTATTACTTAAGGCTAATTTAGTTGAGAAAATGCAAAAAACAGGCAATGTAGTCAACAACTTGCACCAAAAACCCAACGAGGATAAAATGAATGTACCAGAAACAAACTAAACTGGATGTGGATGACCTTTTGTTAACCATTCTGTCCTTAAAAATAATACCAGTATTAACTGGGGTGGAAAGATGGTGTTTTGCAACAAACCAAAACAAAACCCCCCCCTAAACCGGGGAGATAATCCCCAACAGTTGGTAATGTTAGGTTTACAAAAGAAACAAGATTAGGGCTAAAACTCAGCACCTCTGTTTATATAATAGTCTGCTCTTATCTCGTCTTATCCAAAAAGTCTGCCTACACAGGTTGAGCTGAAGCAGGAGTGGTGACCTGCGAGTTGGCAGCTGGTTTAGATTTTCTCAAAAAGATGCAGCCAGTAGAAAAAGCACAGCTGGAGCAAACGTGAGGAGATGTGTTTCCTCTTGTTTGGTTGTTTAACTATTCCTGGGAAACTAGAAGCACCTGGGTCGAGGTCGCTTCCTGGTTTTCTATGATGTGCATGAGATGAACTGACTGATTTTGACTCGAGGTCAAAATTCTTCATCTTTGTTGTAGCTGTACAGTGCCATTTCGAAAATTGCACTATATCCTGCATTTTAATTTTTTTTTTTTTAAAGTCTCACCAAGGCAGCACTATTTGTTCAAAATATAGTAAAAACAATAATGCTGTAAAATTTCATTACAATTTAAAATAACTTATGTTTGTTTTAAAATATTTTATATGTAATTTATTCCTGATGCAAAGCTGAATTTTTAGCATCATTACTCCAGTCTTCAGTGTCACATGATCCTTCCATTCTAATATGCTGATTTGCTGCTCAAGAAACATTTATTTTTATTTCCAATGTTGAAAACAGTTGTGCTTAGTAATTTTTAGCGGATAACATGATACATACAGGATTCTTTGATGAGTAGAAAGTTCAAAAGAACAACATTTATTTGAAATAGAAGTTTATGTAACATTAAAAATGTCTTTACTCTCACTTTTGATCAATTTAATGCGTTCTTGCTGAATAAACATACCAATTAATAAAAAATAAAAAAAATCTTACTGACCCAATACTTTTAAATGTTAGTCTATCTATATAATGGCAGATATTATTGCATTTGTTCTAATACATGAAATGCCCATAATGTAAATATTAGCATGTCACTGCAAAACTCAGTGCAAAACTGTTGCTCCACTTTGATTAGAAATTAAACAATCTTTTTTAAAAACAGAACATAGGACTGTAATGCAGTTCGTAGTTATGGGAAGAAGGAGGTGGGAATGGCTGATTCCCTGGCCAGTGCACTGGCTACTTTGTGGATTGAGACACACCCTCAGAGTCAACAATGGAAGAAAACCCCAAAACATACAAGCCAACAAAATTAACATAATATTTTACTATTAGGACAACAAAACAAAGATACACACCCAGACCTGTGACAAATGAGCACAGCCTTTACACTGAGTCAGTATTGATTTGATGGCCATGTGTATGCAAATGGACAACAAGGAGACAGTGTCTGAATTCATAAACCTGTCAACTAAACCAAATCTCAGATATATTCAAGTAAAAAACACCTGCGTGCCCTTGCTTTCAGAAGTTGCATGAAGTCAGCCAATCATATTATAGCCTGCAGATGACAAAAGTGCTTTCCAGTTTTGTGAGAAATATGGATCACAGGGTCAGCAAACAGACTGTAGGCAGTTTGTGGGTGGAGTTGTCTGAGGCTGAGACTTAGTAATTATTAACTAGAGTCTTCAGTCATTGTCTGAAGGGGTGTGTATGTGTGTGTGTGCGTGTGATTTGGGAGGTTATTTGCTCACCGCTGATAGAGAAGAGAGTGTAAACGATTTCTCCACTGGCAGATGCCACGCATTCAAGGGTGGAGTAACTGTTCTTGGTGATGTTTAGACGACTTTCTACTGTGCCTTTCCCAAAAGGAGGATTTGTCATGGTTACAGTAACAACATCCTCCTCCTCTTGAGTGGCATTCAGCAAATTGGAGCACCTGAGGAGGCATGCAACAAACTCATAAATTCTTAATCTCGCACTTCTCATGAACATGTACTTATGGTGGTGAACCATTCTAGAAACACTGCATAAAAGGAACTATGTAAAAATAAACGAATAAATAATACAAAAAATGTATCAATGTGCAAAACAAAGGCAAATACACACACACACACATATACAGTATATATATATATATATATATATATATATATATTCATAGCCTTAAAAGCAGTGTTATTTTCATATTATTTATAAAGTATTAAAGTTTTTTTATATTATACATTAGCTTTTATCTCCTATTGTATACCATTTTACGTCACAGGAACAGCAGGTTACTACATTTTGATGAAAGATTATGAAGCCTAACATTTTTTCTTTGGAATAAAATGCACCAATTCACTTTTTATGATAAGGCTGGAACGTGTGAAGATATTTTTGATTTCATGTAGACCTTAAGATCAAATGTTAAGAACCAATGCATATCAAGACACATAACACGATAAGGATGTGATAAGCATCTCTCACCGCATTCAGTGGCTATGGCAGGTTTTTACTGATGTGTGTGAAAATAGCTTATTGCTTAAGAAAGCAAAATAACAGGCAGCAAAGTGACAGACCTCAAGGGCTCTTTTATTTAAAAACATCAGAGTGGAATGTACTGCCATCAAGTACTTTGATTTATTTGTTTCTCCATTTTTTTTTTTTGTGCAATTGAGTTGAGTTAAAAGTTAGCTTTGGATATAAAGCCAGAACAAATAAACCTTAACTGGCTTACATTCCTTGATCCGTCTCTTTGTTACTGAGCGATATCGTTAATGACATTGTTTAGCATGGTGAAAACTCAACAGTTTCTCAACAATGGAATGTCTGCTCGGTGAGAAAACTATCAAACTGGTGACAGACACCAACGCACAAACAAGATCAAAAGACACACTGCACTACATGTTTATATGCTCAAATTGAAGCAGGGCATGCTATCCTGATTAGATTGGATCATCATGAAGAATTGATTGGATAAGCTTGTGACTAAGACCATGCATGCTAAGGTGTTCTGTCAACACTGCTATTCGAGAATAAACAGCCCCATGGAAGCCACTTGTTCCCATGTTGTTTGGTGCTGTCACATGACTGATAGCAGCCAATCGCTTTTGTGATGTCACAGTCATGACAGAGTCAAATTGCTTATCCCTATCAATAATAGGCTAAAGCCTTGTTGTCCAATCATCAAACATCAAGTTAGCGGTTAGTGGCTAATCCACGCTACGTCACAACGTATCCTCAGAGAGGCTAATATGTTAACACTGCTCAAGAGAGGTGCCGCTAATTTTTGAAAGCAACTTTTAGAGCCCATTGTATGTACCCTGGGTGTATTTAAAAATTACAAAACTGCAGAAAGACTGTACACGTACCTTGAATGGGGTTGGTCACAGTAATACCACTTGATCTGAGGAGTGGGGTAACCTTCAGCCACACAGCGCACCTGTCCATCAATCGGCCCTTCATGGGACACAATCTGTGGTTTACCTAACAGTCAAAGATTGGTTCTGGGTCAGTTTTACAATCTTGGTTAGTGGGATGGATGCTTGTACAGCTGTCTTATTTGCGATTACTTTGCATACTGTTATTATTTAAAAATATGGCTTAAGTGGCATTAAAAAGACAGATTTGGAACATTTTTGCCATTTAAAATGTGGGCAGAAAGTAAAACCTGTTTGAGGGATAAATCTATTTATAACTGGTGATCAATAAATCTCACAGAAAAGAAAATGACTTGACAAATGTCTTATTTGAAGTCTTGAAGCCCAGGGCTTTCTTATCTGTTTTTGCACAGCCTCTACTATTGTTAGTGGACTTTAAGTCAGAGTCTTACATAGACAATCAAGTTCTTTTATCCAGCACAATGCTCAAGAAATATGACTGATCACTTCTGAACCAGAATACACACAAAACTCATAGATCACATAGATTCTATACTCTTTTCTGGTGAGTGGAAAAGCCAAATATTTGCCATTTGCATTAAATGTTTTCACTCACTTATGACATGGACTTCGAACATTTGATGAACTGTTGCGTCTCGGTTTGAGCATGAAAAGGTGTAAACGCCACTTTCCAACACCTTGAGACGCACTAGCTTCAGCTCGCTGGTGTACCTGTTGAAAGAAGAGAAAGAAACATGAATAACCTATCTTTCAGTATCTTTCAGTTCAGTAAATAAATGGAATAACATGTCGAGTTTGCACTGACATTAAAATTCTGATAAAACTGAAAATTCTATAGTATTTTCTCTAAAAGAATTATAAAAAAGACCACACTAAAAACAAAATGCCACAATTTAAATGCCACAAGTGAATTTAGGCTTCACAACATTATTTTTTTATCATGTATAAAAAATTAGATATTGAGTGATTTGCTAAAGTTTACATTTAACAATGTTTTTAAATTATTAGTGTTTTTAAATATTAACTTTAAGTGAGCATTACATGACGGCAAAGGTAATCTGAATATAAAAACAGTAAATGAGCAGCACAAGTAATACAACATCAAAACACATTTCCAATAAATTTAAAAATATATATATATTTTAATATAACCAATAATCAATATGATACCACAATATTGTGCATTCCTAGCAATTACTACGTAGAAAAAAACAAGAAATGTTTGTAATCAAAATCATACCGATTCCCATGTGAGTGACTGGTAATGACATGATCAGTAGTGTTGGTAAGTTTTACACCACTGTAGCTCCAGGAAAATGGATGAGGTTTCGGGTAAGCATCCATTACCACACGCAGGGACAGACTTTCTCCAGCCCGCACTCTCTTAGTGCTGTTATTCACACTTGTTAGGTTAATGAAGCTTTTCTCTACACACACAAACACATAAAACATCAATTTATTCTTTGAAACGGCACAGCCATTGAGACTTAATAAACAGTCATATGATTATTTTTTTAAATTGAAAATGTTTTTGAAACAACAGAGACCTACCATAGATTTCGACCCAGACCGTCTTTGCACTGGTCCCTCTTTCGTTCCTGGCCTCGCAGTTGTAAATCCCTGCATCCTGCATGGTCACAGACCCCAGATTCAAGGTGGCGTTCCTCAGGTGAGAAATGGGCTCGGTCAGGATACTTGAGAACTGCTGCACTGACGGTTGCTTGGCACATGCAAAAGGAAAAGAGACACAAAGCTGATTGGGCAACTATGAAGAGATGAAGCATAGACCCTGTCTTGGGTAAAGTGCTTGTGGTTGTCTGTATGTGTAGGTGTGGCTGTTTTTATCTTTATATAAAACAAAGCATGTCATTCATCTCTCAAATAACAGTCTCTGATGGCAGTGGAGTCTCGATACAATACTGAAGAGCTGTTTACGTATGTTGTGTTCTCACAGCACACGTTTGACAATAATACAGTTGTGAGTGCTGAACATTTAAGGGAGTGAGTTTAGATACAAAATTCGGTTCATGCGTTAAAAACTGAACTGTGTTTGAACACAACCATATATAGTGCTTTAAAACAGAACTGACAATCAAGATTGAGATAAATACAGAACAGAAGAATTGCGAGTAAAACTAAACTAGAATTGAATTGTAATGACAGGAAGTTCAATAAAATATAACAAATGTAATGCATTCAAGGGAATCTATCTTCTGCCTACAGTAGTTATCTAGCTAGCTAGCTGTCTAGCCATCTATCTAGCAATCCATCTGTCTATCAGACTATCTGTTTGACTCTCTAGACTATCTGTCTGTCTTTCTATCTGTCTGTTTACATCTCTTTCCATCTGTCTGTCAGTCTATCTATCCATCCATCTGTATCTCTATCCATCTGTATGTCTATCTGACTCTCTAGCTATCTCTTTCTTTCTTTCTTTCTTAAATGAATTTTTATTTATTTTAATTATATTTTAAATTAATTATACAACCATACTTTGCAATTCTGCGTCCTGTTTGCTTCCTCAATTTCAAGCTTAATTCAAAATTCAAAACTTGAACTGGAATTTAAAAGGCATTCTCAATTCACATCTGAATGACACACAACCCTGCTGACAACCATATTCGTCTGCAGTGTTGAAGAAAGTTACTTTTAAAAGTAATGCATTACAATATTGCGTTACTCCATAAAAAAGTAACTAATTACGTTACTTAGTTACTTTTTATAGAAAGAAAAAAGTAACTTGCGTTACTTATTTGAAAAAGTAACTAGGATATTCTCTTGTAAATTAAAAAGTAATGCATTACTTAGTTACTTGAAAAAAGTAATCTGATTACGTAACTCGCGTTACTTGTAATGCATTACCCCCAACACTGTTCGTCTGCTGTGTAAATATATGATCATATAGAATTTGAGGAGCACCTTAAACCACACAAGATCCAATTTGCCTCTGGGCATAATATCAAGTTCAAACAACATTTAAATTCTCATTCTCAGTCTACAAACACTAAATTGTTCATGGGTACACATTACCACACTAAGTAGGTTAACTGGGATGTGCACTCACTCTATAGTCTGCTTTTGTAAACATTGGTTTTACTCGCTTGAAACTGTTGCAGTGTTTAATAAAGTCTGCAGTATGTACACTGCAAAAAATGGCTTATCTTACTTAGTATTTTTGTCTTGTTTCTAGTCAAAATATCTAAAAAATCTTAAATCAAGATACTTTTACTAGATTAGCCAAATGACTTAAGATATTTAGTCTTGTTTACAGGGAAAAAAAAAAAACGAAATTAAGCGCATTTTGCTTAAAACAAGTAAAATTATCTGCCAGTGGGGTAAGTAAAATATTCTTAAAACAAGGTAAACAGGTAAACAGGTGAGAGCTGGTTAGGTTGTGAGAGTGTTCTTACCACTCCTTGTGGAGCCTTCCACCTGACTGTGATGTCGCTGTTGACGTTTGAGGTGTTGCAGGATAGGGAGAGTTCTTCCCCCTGGATGAGCATCACTCTCGGAGGCTGACCCAGTGTGATCACAGGAGGCACGTCTGGAACTAAAAGCAAAGAAGCATGATGCATTATATCAACGCAGCGGGAAAGTGTGGGAAAGAGAGCAAGCTACAGTGGGGTAACATGGACATGCATGTGCCTAGTGTCTGTCTGTGTCCTCTAGCTATATTTAGGTGAATAAAGGCCTCCTATAGCGAATCAATGCGTTGTTGTAAGAATAATATCCATATTTAGAACTTTATAAACAGTAATCTCTAGCTTCCACTAACTATTGTACACGCGTTCACAATAGAACGCTGTTCCGGAGGATGACATAAGACGTAGCGTAAGGTCCGGTGAGAAGTGATGAATGTGGAAGCGCAGCGGAGAGAGCAAAACAAAACACTGTTTACGAATTAGAAGTACAAAACGAAGATTTGTTAAGAAAAATGTCAGAGGATTTCGATATAAGCCAAGAGGAGACTCGTTTTCCTTTGCTAAAGTAAGGAAACTTTGCTTCCTTTGCTCCTGTTAACAAA